GGTCTCTTACTCAACTAGACATTTCAAATGCGTTTCTAAATGGTGATCTAGAGGAGGAGATTTATATGAAGTTGCCTCCGGGTTATGAAGTGTTAACAGGAGTCTCTGTCCCATCTAATGCTGTTTGCAGACTGCATAAGTCACTTTACGGTCTCAAGCAAGCTTCGAGACAGTGGTATTTGAAGCTTTCTTCTACTATACTGCAGATGGGTTTTCAGAAATCTCGTGATGATCATACGTTATTTGTGAAGAAGGAGAATGATTGTATATTGGCGGTTCTAGTGTATGTTGATGACATCTTGGTTGCGAGCAACAATGATGGTGCTGTAGTGGAGTTTGTTCGGGAGTTGGAATCTCATTTTAAACTTCGAAATCTTGGTGAGGCGAAGTTTTTTCTTGGATTGGAGATAGCACGTTCGGAGAAAGGTATATCAGTCTGTCAAAGAAAGTATGTTCTTGAGTTACTTGATGACACTGGTTTCCTTGGCTGTAAACCATCATCTATTCCTTTGGATCCTACTGTCCGCCTCTCAAAGGAGACAATTCCACCTAAAGATGGCTCCAAGGTTATTCATGAGATGGGTGATTTGTTGACTGAACCCAAAGTTTACCGTCGGCTAATGGGAAGACTGATGTATTTGGCTATTACACGGCCTGATATCTCTTATGCTCTTATCAAGCTATGTCAGTATTCTTCACAGCCACGAGAAGCTCATCTTCGTGCTGCTCATAAGCTTCTTCGTTATCTCAAAGGGACTGTTGGTCAAGGCATTTTCTATGCTGCCACTGGTTCATTTGATGTGCGTGGTTTCGCTGATGCAGATTGGGGCTCCTGCCCTGATTCAAGGAAATCTATTACAGGTTATGCTATGTTTCTTGGAGACTCATTGGTTACTTGGCGCTCTAAGAAGCAACGCACTGTGTCCAGGAGTACGGCTGAAGCTGAGTTTCGCGCTCTAGCAGATGCTTCATGTGAGATAGAGTGGCTTCTCCGTATTCTGGCTGATCTTCACATTCCTGTGTCATTACCAACACATCTTTATGGTGATAACACAGCCTCTCTTCATATTGCCAATAACTCTGTTTACCATGAACGGACTAAACATGTTGATCAAGACTGCTACACCATCCGTGAGCGGATTGACAATGGGATGATCAAGACAATGCACGTCCGTACACACAATCAGCTTGCTGATGTACTAACGAAAGCATTGTATCCAGCTCCATTCCGGGAATTGATATCCAAGATGGGTGTTTTGAACATCTACACACCTCCATCTTGAGGGGGGGTATTAGCCGGTTTAGTTTATACCACTTGTAAATGTAATTTAAGCTGGTTTAGTTAGGTTTAGTCCGGTATAGATTTTACTATATATACATGTAAATGGTTGACTTTTGTAACTAACGAGATTGAATTCAAATGTTCAGTTACATCATTTTCTCATGAATCTCAATNTTGAACATCTACACACCTCCATCTTGAGGGGGGGTATTAGCCGGTTTAGTTTATACCACTTGTAAATGTAATTTAAGCTGGTTTAGTTAGGTTTAGTCCGGTATAGATTTTACTATATATACATGTAAATGGTTGACTTTTGTAACTAACGAGATTGAATTCAAATGTTCAGTTACATCATTTTCTCATGAATCTCAATTTCTCATAAACATTTATTTCCTTTTTGTTTGTTTCTTTAAGTTACTTGGGTATTACTATACTGGGAATTATAATAGTTTAGCTTATTTTACATTTTTTTAGTAAGCAAAGGACTTGAAGCTACACTGTTTTGAAAGAAACTTACATATAATGTAAATCTTAAGGAGCAAGAAATAAAGGAAGACAGTAACCGAGTAACAACTCGGATCAAAGTTGATAGTGGCCACCTCTATTACCTCGGCCACCACGACTAAATGAAACTTGATGCCATTGCATATCTTTGACATTTGCGAACGGTTTCACTTGCCTTTCTCAAAGAATTCTTTACCCGTAGGTTGATTAATTTCACCGTCCGATACCTCTTCTTCGTCTTCGTCTCCAGAAGAATCCATTGACGGGAAGATGCTTTCACTCAAAGTTGCACTAAACAAGGACCTCCTGATTGGGCACTTGCTAGAATAGCTGAATGAGATACTTTCTTGGTAGAATTCTAGCTTTTTTCAGCCAAAGTTTTTTCAATCAACATTGGTTCACCTATTTCCGAGGCGAGCCTTTTGATGCCCAATAAAGAGTTAAGATGGTTTGAGATGTTATTAAGGGTCAGCCATACAGGGATAGTAGTAATCTCAGGGACTGAAATAGTATCCTTAGTTGACTACAGTGACATGAACATCAAACGATCATCAACATACCACATTCCTCTTTTCAAACCCCATTTACGAGTTGATACATCAGAAATGTGGAATAGATAATTAGTCTCTCCTAATTTGCGAATGAAAAGTTTACACTTCTTTCATCAAATCCTAGTTACTACACCTTAATTTGATCATGCATGCTATTACATATGACTATTATATTTTGTGTTCACAAATTCGTGGATCATTATACACATACTATTTGGAGTTGTAATATGCAATTTTTTTTGTTTTTTGGTAATATGTATTGTACGGGCCAAAAGACCCGACTAATACCGGAGGTCAAGAGATAAACCATGTAAATAGCTTATGTTCTCACCAGGCCCGGCTCTATGCATGTGTTGAGGATGTATTGGTACATGCACATGGCTCATCACCATTTTCGATTTTTTCTAACCCAAACTAGGGTCTTCTTTTTCAAAAAAAAAAATTATACGAGGAAATTTTCTTTTTGCTCAGAGCCCGTATAATATTTGAGACGGGCATGATTCTCACATGTACGAAGCTCATCTAATTGGTAAGTTTCGAACATGTGGTTCTTAGCATCTTTAAATATAATTGTTGAATTATGCATTGAATTTGTGAGCTGACATAGATGACTCGATCCAAGATTCATAGATCATGCGTTCTCTAACAGGGATCGCTCGACTCATGCATTTCTCTCTATCATGGATCGGGCGTCTTTTGCAGGGATTGGACGCTCTAAGCAGGATGGAGAGGCAATCTTTAACAAATTTGAAGATATAGAATGTTTCATTAAACGTTTTTTATATATACCTAAAGGATTTTTCCTATTTTGTACTACGGATTGTACTTAGAAAAACTCGCCTCCAACATAAAATATTCGTTTTGTGCGTAAATGTAGCTCTAAAGATGAATCACGATAAATTTATGTATCAATCTTTATAGTTTATCCATCAGTTAATTTGTTTCTTTTCACATTCACCACAACAAACATAATATTCAAATTTGTGTAAGTATCTAAAATAAAATAAAAAAAGAAAGAAGAAAAAATGAACAAAAATGAAAAAAGAAGAGAAGGGGTGGGGAGGACCACGTAAGAGAAAGGAGTAAAAAGTATGATTGTCCGAAAGAGAGTTGCAGATGTTACATGAAGAGGGTGAGATTACAAGTCCTAGCTTACTAGCTGTGACAGTCTTGGAGTAGTAGTGTGGTCCTTCTCGCACCTGATCCCTTCTCTCTCCTCATCACTCACTCTACTTTTTTGGGTGTTCTGTCCTCACTCACAAGTAGTATGCAAATCCTCGATATGAATAAGATCCTCGATATCTTTCGTGCCCCATCATTAACACTTTAATTAACCAGTCTCTAACTCAAATTTGTACTTTATACATTCATGTATTATGTGCGAATGAAACATTAATCTTTTAAAACGAAAGCTAAATTCAAACTCTTGTCTATTAATTCCGGTATGAAGCATCCACCCACAAGTTTACTATGTAATTAGTTTATTCTTTGTTGAATTTACACACTTATTGACAGCATTTATATGGTTGCACATCTCATGATAAAAGTTAAAGAAAAGATGGATCATAATCCACAGTAGTTGTTCCAAAACCACGACAAAGCAAAGATGTTGGTGGCTAGTGTTGTCTATGATTGGTTTTGCTTTGATGAACGCGAAATGACCAATTCGCCGTCCCGTCACCATTCATACTGTATTAGATAAACATAACACCGTGAAATATTCTTTTTATTTTTATTTTGTGTAGGTCGGCACGAGCATACCTTTATATAGATCTTACACCAAGTTTATAACTTACGATAACTCGGTAAGATACACATATATATTAACAATATAGATATCGGCTGGTGTGGAGGGACCTTTGTTAGCATTATAATGTACTACTTAAGTGATATGGTTAACAAGGAAGATTTTGTGCACAAAAAAAAAACAAGGAAGATTTATTTGTTAAAAAGTTAACAAGGAAGATTTATTTGTTAAAAAGTTAACAAGGAAGATTAAGCGTGTAATAAAAGAAATGAAAGTTAGAAGCATGCATATCCAACTTAGATCACAAAGGACCCTTATAATTAGTTATGTGATAGCAACACTTGCATGTCCCATTTACAAAACCCTAGGGTACAAAAAACAATTTGTAAGTATTTCTTTTATGTGGATGCCCCAGGAGAGGCCTATCGCCATTACATTGCATCTATAAATGGGGGACCATTACTAGCTAGCTATCAATTTTTCTTACATTTTTATTCAAATAGTTATTGTAAAATTTCTCAAAATGTAATGTCCAAAGCAGCTGGACCATAGAACTAGCAATGTCTCGGATTGTCCTTAAAAGTATAAAATCTATTCTCTTTTAGTTACTTGTTGTTTCCTCTGTGTGTTTAAGTGAGGATCACAAGTCCATCAAGGACCATCTTGAAACTGCAAACTATTCATGAAAGATTCTTTATCAAGAGACAATGATTCGCTAGATGTGTCTTTCCACATTTAATTCATTGTTGACAAATTACTACCCTTGTTTCTTTTAAGACGCTTTACATTGGATTATGAATTTATGAGAACCTAATCAATCAACGTTTATCATATTCTCCGAACATATGTAATTTACACTGACTTTTTGGGTTAAAAGAGTAGAGCATATATAATTACACTTACGTTTCCCTCCATTATGTGTGTTGTTATTTCCAGGTTTATTAAATCAAGAGATGAGTTCAAAACTAGGAGAATTTCAATTTTGCCACAACTTTGATATCACTTTTCAAATTTACTTTTGAAAGATAATCATTTTCATAAGTATTTTAAATTTTTGATAAAAATATTAAATTAACTCTCATAAATCATTTATAAATGTTTATAATAATTTATAAAACATTTATAGAAGTTTATAAACTCAATCCTTCCTAAATATTAAACCATAAATCATAAATTCAAAATATCATGGTATTTTTGATTGAATGTATTTATAAAAATTGGGCAATTTAAAGTATTCTAAGTAATTTCTCTTTGTAACTCTTTTTCTCAAATATTGAAAAAAAATTATGCTAAGTTTGCCAATTTCCAGGCAGCGAGAAAATGACAAATTAACTTTCTCTGATCGATCTTCGGCCTATGGGTTGTAAATTTTACTAATGCCATGACTTACTTAACAGGTTGAAAGCAGATATATGTAGTCTATTTTTATTTTAGTTAAGTAATTAGATATACACAGAAAAAGGTCCAATACTCATTGATTTCTTAAAATATTAAGAGTTTGTCTTTTCTAACATGAATTAATTGCACAGTAATAGGGTTCTAGGCTAGTAGCCCTAGCCTCTCCTTTCACTCAGGAAATGTCCCTCTCATCTCTCTCTTTCATCACACACACACACAAACACAAACCACAAACAAAATCACTTTCTCCCTGGTTTAATTAAAACCCCTTAAGCCCACACTACCTCTATCTTTTTAAGGTCACGAGACCCACTTTGTTTATTTAGTTTCCTCACACAGAGAGAGACGATAGAGAGAGTGAGAGTTGTGAGGATTGTGGCAGATAAACTGATAGAAAACTTTCAAACCTCTCTTTAACGTTTATCTCTACGTTTTCTCTTCCTTTTGTGGTGCAGCCTCCAACTGAAAGTCCTCTAATATATATTGTCAATTATAGCTCTTCGAGAGAAGTCTTATCGCACCTCAATCTCTCATTTCCAACTATGTATATGCCCCACAAGACACAAAAACACTCTCTTAACTATATCTTCCAATTTCCTAATCTTTAAACTCACACTTGTCTATACATTGAACTTTTTGTTCGCAGGAGGCATGAGGAGAACTACCTAGACCTCAACAATCTGCCACATGACTTTTCTAAAGATGGCAATAAGCAACCCCTGGAGGAAGGTTCTTCCTCTGGTATGCTTATAATACCATTGAAAACCCTAATTACTTTGACGTTATATATACTTATATGTAACATGGAGATATGTATCATTAAATGAAAAAAGTAGATATATACTTATATAATCGTATTGGTGCTATTTTGTGTTTATGGTAAAAAATTTATTATACATGGAGTCCAGACAATTTACTAATTTGTTGGTGAAATTGTTAATGTGTGGGATTCTTTTTTTGATAATTAATTAGGTCCAAGAAAGAAAAGAGGAAGTAAAGAAGGGAAAGATGAGAGCGGGAAGGTGTACGAATGTCGATTTTGTTCACTCAAGTTCTGCAAATCCCAAGCTCTTGGTGGCCACATGAATCGCCACCGACAAGGCATGTCTACTTAACTTTGATATAATCCACATTTCATATTCACACTTGATATAGTTCGTGCAAGTAAACCCAAAATTTCAAAATCTTTTGTCTTTGGTAAATGATTGATGTCACATCCATGTCTTGACTACAACTTAGTACCCGTAGATGGTAGCTAATCGCATTTAAGACTTAGTTTGATGTCCTTTTGGTTCTATAAACTTTAAGAGAGGGAGACCGAGACATTAAATCAAGCTCGCCAACTGGTCTACCGTAACGATACCTTAGCCCCACCTGGTGTTACGCCTTTCAGGTACGCTCCATTTATCTTAAAACTTCCAATAATTAATTAAATAATCGTTACCAAAGTTTCTTGTATAATTAATGATCAATCATATGAATGAAGTGATAAAAATTGGAATTGGTTGGTAGATATCATACCGCAGATCCAACAGTATACAGGTCGGTTTACTCATCACCAATGCTATATGCTGGAAGCTCCTCAACGAACTTGGTTCCCCAACCGCTTCAACCGCCATATCCATACTCGTCAAACCAATACTCTCACAACCACACCAACGATTACTACTTAAGCCAAACATATCGAGGCAGCAGAAGCATCTCTCCAAACCCTAATCACCCAATCAACACAACCGTTAATTACATGGCCGATGGTCCCGTGGAATCGCGCTACACTTGCGTTGGTGCACCTATTGGTCAAAGCAGTTACCCTAGCCGTGGCTCCCCCAACATCCGTGCGCCACCGCTTGAACCGCCACAAAGTCGTGATGGTGACGCTTCACGGCAGCGTTTGGATCACACTCTTCGGTTACCCATTAACCGGTTTCAAGATCATCACTCACTCTGAGCTTTTAAATATTTTCTCTGCTTTTCTTTTATGTTCCTTTTGTTTTTGGGTATTTTCTTGTTTTTTTATTATATTTTATTTGGTCGTCAAGAAAGTAGGGGATCTTGAAATTGTCTAAACAGTAAACACCATGGATCCGACATGTGTTATTACCAAATGGCCCGCTTGTTTTTTTTTTTTTTTTCATTCTTGTAATTGTTGAATTTTAGTTGGAATCATTTATTACTAGGATCTAATCAATGATATGTTGTGATTGATATCGTGTTGAATCGCAGATACCAAATGATGTTAAAACAGTTCATTAAAAGAGTCAAGTTAACAAGTTAGAAAAGAGGAGGAACCCTCGTGGGGATATAATTAAGAGAAAGGTGAACATTTAACAAAGTTTCCATTTATGGATACACAAGGGAAGTGATTAATCTAAGGAAAAGCTTTTGATTATAGAGAACAACGAGAAGGACAGAGGAACCGGACAAATGGGTGAGAGAGAGAGAGAGAGAGAGAGAGAGAGAGAGAGAGAGAGAGAGAGAGAGAGAGAGAGAGAGAGAGAGAGAGATCACAATATATGATACAATGTGTAGGGAGATTGGAACAGCCTTTATCTGAGCTCAGCTACAACTCTCAGCTACTTTGGCCTGAAGCTAGCTAGCTATGAAAATTGGGGATTGGAGGGAATTGGTTTGTGGGTTTTGGTTGGTTTGTTCCAAATAAAAATTATAAAGGAAGTTCCAGATATATGTATATAACATTTATTATATATTGTTATAAAAGTGTAAGCAGGAAGTAACTAGATCCAGGTTAAGACTGTTAGATGCCAGCTGAATTCCCCTAACTAGTAAAACTTCCCTTTGCATTTTCTAATGCACTCTAATTTCTCTCAACTACTACTTTCATCTTTTTTACTTCTTTTAAAATCTGTTACGTTAAAACAATAAATATATCTTCAATATAACTCAGAATCTTTTGTTTCATCAAAAAAGTCTCCAATTTTTCAAAATTCTCCAAATGATTATTAGTATTAATGCAATTGTAATAAATTAGAAGTTACCGTTTACAAACCATGAACATGAAGGAATCGGATACAGGCGGTCGTGTACCTGGCCCTGTTTGAAGAAAAATTATGATTATTTACAAAGTTGATGATTTCTAGAAGTTGCATGAATTAAATAACACGAGAATGCATGTATTTTGAGACATTTTATAAGTCAGTGGGCTATATGCTTACACTGGAGAGACTAATGCCTCGACCATATCTATCGCTTCTTCTTCTTCTTTATTCGGAACAGTGACAGCTAAATTATTGCTACACATAGACCTATATATATATAGAGAGAGAGTGAGTGAGAAAGAGATATGTGAAATATGTGCGAATCTCTAACTTGATCAGCCTATCAAAAAAATGGGTCAAGATAACATGTTTCCATTGGTTTTGTGATGGCATGGGTTTAGCTAGCATTGTTTAATTGTACGAAAATCTATTTGAGGATGCATATATAAGTAAGTACTGGAAATAACAGAGATGGGTCTGTAAGTACGAAGCAACGTGTGATGAGTACGAATCCCTCACTGTCTTTACGTATTTGTAGTATATAGAAGGACACACATGGACATATATATCGCAATCATATTAGTGTTACTACACGTACTATGTATGTAAATATTTTAGGTGATCAATCTATATATATTTGCTAAAATGGTTGTTGATGTGTTAAATCATTGTTGTTGTTTTGGACTTTTGGGTCTAATTGACAACTTTCAGAATAATAATAAACCAGAAACATTATTAGTAGAAACACACAAAGAGTTAAAATTCTATAATTAACAATGTTAAAATCATAGTAATACTTTATTACTTCATAGAGTTTTAAATAAATTTTATTCTTGAGTATATATGCATTTATTAATTATCTTTAAATAGGAATATAGAAATATCTATTTTTACAATTTATAATATTGATTAAAATTTATAAATTAGTTCTGATTTACAAATATGTATTTTAGAATAGAAATATTTTTATAAACACAAATCTATAGATAATACTAAAATACTTTAAAATATGTTAAGTTTCCACAAGTTTGGAATTATCCAACATAAAATAATAATAAAATATAAAAAAATTAGCTTTGAAGGAAACATAATATTATAATGTTTTTTTTTGGAACACTCATAACAATATAATGTATCTAATTATCTTATCAAGATAACATTATTTTATGATATTAACATAATCATACATTCACATAAAATTTTTTTACAAATTTATTCGATCCTCTTACTGATATGAATATTTCTCTCAATCTCTATGTCTTATGGAAAGCACAAGATTTCGATAGTTCAGCCTCATATCAAAACATTTGCTACATATTCTTACTAGGTTGTTCAAGAATTAGAGATATTTATCAACTTGTATCTTACTAACCAATTAATTGAGAAATCATGTCCATCAAAATAGATTTTGATCCTCCTTGTGAACTAAAATGGGAAAGTGATGAACTAGCTATGGGAGGTATGTATACATAAAGAATAATTATCTTATCAAGTTTTATATTTTAAACCAGTTCTATTCAAAACTAAAAACATTAATTTATTACTCTACTAACTACTTTATATATACATTAAATTAAAAGCTCACAGAATAATCTAAACTTTATTATTTAAAATATTTTACCAGTCACAATTTTTAGTAAATTAATTTTACCCTTAGTGTATTTCGTAATTATATAATATTTTGAAGAATAACTCATTCCCTTCCAAGATATATCCAATATGTATATATGTTTTTTTTTTTTTCATGATTTCCCGAGTTTAACAGTATGTGTGCCACCTAATTGATTTTTCAAATTTCTCAGTGATTTCATATTTATATTTCCATATGTTAAAACAATTTTAGATAATCAACATAATAAAATTGGATGTGATTTGAGATGGAAGGGATGACATGAATCAGCCCCCAAATTTTAAATATTTGTTTCGCTATATATAGTTAACCCAACCCGGACTATCAGTAGCCCGACCTGATTGGACATTTTTTCTTATGTAGCTTCGGCGGATCCTAGTTATGAATTATTTTACTATTATATTGTAGTTTTAATTCGTGATTTTATTCCCTCGAGTTCTGTCAACTCAAAAGTATCTTGACCAAATAATATAAAATTATATTTGTGTTGTGTCCAGAGTATTCTCTTACTCTGTTTTTGTATGTTGCTACCTTGACGTAATGGAAATCTTCAGTAGTGTTAAAAAATTCCATGTCAATGCCGTATAACAACCTAACAAGGCACCTATTACACTTTTGGGTTGTCATGCTGAAATCTTTGCTAAACTTATTTCCAAAATAACATTGCCACTATTTTAACTATAGATATTTTTTTATTTTTCATGAAGAAGTTTTGGACTGAAATTCCTGGTCTCTCTTTCCGTATTTTCTCAAGCATAAACAAAATTGATAAAGAACATGTCCACACACGACTGCTTCAAGACACAATCATCACCAATCTGCATCTCAAACCACACAGTATTATAGTGTGAACATGATTTCTTATCCAAGATATAACTTATCATTCCTTGAAGTGCATATATGTTGGAAGTGTCTGAGTTATCTCTGAAAATCAGACTTAGTTATGTCTCCAACCAAGTAACCAACACACAAGCTTTACAACCATTACTGAAACTCTTCGTCTTGGAGATGTAATAGTAAAAAACAACGGAATCTCTGAAACTAAAATTAGGAAATATAATGGATTGATCGAAGCTAGTTGTAAATGATATTTGATGTCGAAGAAAAATTAGAGGAAAACGAATAAGAAAAACTATGAGATTTAAATCTAAGGTTAAACACAATCTGCATTATCTTTTTATCTCAGTTATTTGATCTTTTTAATTATTAAGATTTCTGGTCTACTTTTATATGTTTAGTACGTGTTATAAAGTAACATTTTTTTACTTAAACCATAAATATAATAATTACTTCTCTTGCTACAAACCACAGCAAACAAAAGAAAGCATATCAGAGATCTTTTAGACTCAAAATATAGCAAAACAAGTCCAAAATGCTCTACAAGTCCAGAATATGTTATGGTGTAAAAGGTAACTTAAAGTGTCAGTACAACCGTTTAATGTCAAAAAAAAAAAGTGTCAAGTACTGTTGTGACAAAAAAATAAGTGTCAAGTACTGTATAATGCACTCTAGACAAGTTCAAGAGCCCTCCCTTTAGAGCATGTTTATTGAGAGGATGCTTAAGGGGGTGCTTAGAGAAATAGAGTGCTTAGTTTTGAAGAGAGAAAGTATTGAAAATGCTTAATTAAGCACTTTCAACATTCTCTCTCTTCAAAACTAAGCATTTCACTCCCTTAAGCACCTTCCCTAAGCATCCCTAATAACCTAATAAACATGCTCTTATTCTTCTCAAGAAATAAGGTCCCATTTGAAAAACTTTATATATGTAAAGGCTTCAAATTTATGAAGCCCATTAAGCTCTATTATGGTAGTGTATCGCTATTTACTTATGCGAATGCATTCTTGATTGATAACAAAGATACCGAGAAAATATGATATGCTTGGAGAGAAATGTACTAGCCTTAATTTTTTTTTTAGAATTATGATTTAAGACTGTAACTAGATTTTGAAACGGCACATCCGTGTGGGTATCTTTTTATTTTATAAAAATATAACAAAACTTTTCAAATATATATAATTTACATTCTATTATTATATATTGTATAGTTGTATAATCTTATAATTTTAACTATTTTTATATAATATATTATTGTATGTTTTAAAATAAAAATATTCATATATTATTTTTATATAATGTATTTGTTGTGAGTTACAAAAATATATGTTAACATTTTTTGTATAAAAATATTATATAATTTAAAAACTTTAATATGTTTTAAAAGTGACTGATATTTATTTATTTATTTGAATAAAAGAAAATTTTTAAAATATTTTTCTTTACCAATTTAATATATTTTATATTCATTTCACATAGCATTTTAT